GATTCTCGTGTTCTCAGAATGAATTTGTTGCTTGTTTTTCTAGCTGTGACATTAGCTGATGTGTGGTTGTTGACAACGGAATAAGCAAGTTGCCTGCCTGTGTGTGCCTGTGAACACACACACACACACACACACACACACACACCCTGTCTGGGGTGACCAGGCCAGGCCTCAGGTCTTTCTCCACCAAGACCCCAAGCTGTGCAGGCTCAGGCCTCCCTACACCTCATTCCAAGGCCTTCGCAGTGCCAGCTGGAAGATTCCAGGAGGTTCCCCACAGACGCTGGGACACTTGGAGGGTCTCTCTGCCCACACTGGGGGTCTTCGCTGGACCAGCAGCTATAACTCCACTGCCTGGTGACTCAGTCGCGAGGAAAGGCCTGGTTTCAGGGCACCTGTCCCTGTCCCAGCGTGGTGCCTGCAATGGGTCGGTGCTTGGGCTTTGGAGTGGCCTGAGCTGGGAACCAGACTGCCCTGTACCACATGGGTGACTTTGGGCACTGCTGGACTTCCCTGGGCCCCAGTCTCCTTCCACATAAGTAGGACTAACCATGGCCGTACATCATGGGGCTGTGTGGGAATCGACATAGACAATGCATAGAAAGCCCTTTGCCCATCGCCTGGCACAGTCAGACATAGAGCCTCCATGATGCTGTGATGATGGTGGTGATGGTAATGGAGGTGGTGGTGGATGGTGGTGGTGATAGTGGTGATGGAGGTGATGGAGATGATGGTGATGGTGGTGATAGTGGTGATGGAGATGATGGTGATGGTGGTAATGGTGGTGATAGTGGTGATGGAGATGATGGTAATGGTGATGGTGGTGATGGAGGTGGTGATAGGGGTGATGGTGATGATAATGGTGATGATGGAGGTAATGGTGATTGAGGTAAAGGTGATGGTGGTGATTGTGATGGTGGTAATGATGGTGGTGATAGAGGTGATGGTGATGGTGGTGATAGAGGTGATGGTGATGAAAGTGATGATGGTAGTGGTGGTGATAGAGGTGATGGTAATGGAGGTGATGGAGCTGATGGTGATGGAGGTGATGGTGATGGTGGTGATGGTGTCGATGAAGCTGATGGTGATGGTGTCGATGGAGGTGATGGTGATGGAGATGATGGTAATAGTGATGGTATTGGTGATTGTGGTGGTGATGATGGTGGTAGCGATAGTAGTGATGTGGAGAGAGGGCAGGGGTGGCAGCCCCTGGGGATGGCTTTGCTGGCTCCATGCATGCTTGGACATCCACCTTCATGGGCCCTAGAGAGCCTGCCCATCCACAGCATGTATTCACAAGGGCCCGTGAGGCAGGCAGGAAGGGAGCTGGGCTTCACAGGGAGGACAGCTGAGACTCCCAGAGGCTGATGGAGCCGGGGTGGGTGTGTGCCCCAGGCACGGGTCGAGGGGGGGTGCTGCTCTGCCCCAGCCCCTGCTGATGGAGGCCAGCCCAGTTACACCCACTGCCTGGTGGGCCCTCCCCGGGAGCGTCCAGAGGAAGGACACTGGTGTGTGGAGGCAGCTGTGACTCTGGGCCAGATGGACCTTAGTTTGAATCTACCAGTGCTGCCACTCAGCGCAAGTCCTCTCGACTCAGCGAGGCTCCATCTGCCCACAGGATGGTGCCCAGCTGCGCCCGGCTGCCAATCCCCAAGGGCTTCCAGCCAGAGGCACGTGGGCAGCTGGTGACAGGCGCTGGGCTATAGGCACAGGCAAAGGGAATTGGGAATAGGGAGCAAGTCTGGGTGGTCAGTGGGGAACAGGTCAGAGGGTGGAGGAGGGGTGGTCAGTGGGGAACAGGTCAGAGGGTGGAGGAGGGGTGGTCAGTGGGGAACAGGTCAGAGGGTGGAGGAGGGTGGTCACTGGGGTGTGTGCTGGGGGTGGCCTTGGCAGTTGTGATCAGAAGCAGCCCCACAGTGAGGGGGGCGGAGAGGTGAGAAGACAAAGGACATCAACCCACTGTGACAGCTTTAAGCAGGGAGTGAGGAGAGGGCGTGACACACGTGACCCCAGAGGCCAGGGCAGCTCTGTCCACCTGTGTGGGTGCAGGAAGGGTTTTGGTGGTACTGGGTGGGTGGTCTTGGGCCAATACAAGGCCTGGCTCTTCTGGCCTCTACAATTTATCTCAAATTCACTCCCTTCTCACCTCCACCAGCATCCCAGCCTCGGCCAGCCCATTTCTCCAGCCTCCAGTGGCCCTCCCTGCCCCACCCCTGCCCCTCTACCCACCTCCCTCCACCCTCAGAGGGATGGCTTAAAGGCCCAGACCAGAGCACACCCCTCCTTACATAAACCGCTTCCACGGATCCTGTTGCACTCGGACTGAAACGCAAGCTTCTTCTACGGCCTCACAACGGGCCCTCCCGCTCCCTGCCCCAGGCTCAGCCAGCCTGGCCTCATTTCTGTTCCTCAAATGCACCGAGGTTACTCCAGCTTCCCAGACTTCGCATATGTGATTCCTTCTACCTGGAGCGTCTTCCCCCATGATGATGCCTATGGTTCTTGTTTTTTATTAAATATGTTTTTATTGATTTCAGAGAGAGGAAGGGGAGGGAGAGAGAGAGAGAAACATCACTGATGAGGGAGAATCATTGATCGACTGCCTCCTGCACGCCCCCTGCTGGGGATCGAGCCTGCAACCCAGGGATGTGCTCTGATGAGGAATCATGGGTTGATACTCAACCACTGAGCCACACCGGCTGGGCTTCTGATTCCTGTTTTTATCTTCAATGTCTCTTTCTTTAGAGAGGACAAGGTGGTTTCTCCCCACTTCCCCCTTTCTCTCTTGTTTATTTATTTCCCAGCACTTCTTATTACTTTAGTCAACAAATATTTATTGAGCACCTAGTATGTTCCAGGCACTGTTCCAGGCACTGGGGGGACACAGCAGTGAACTAAACAGACCACAGTCCCCGCTGTCTTACAGCCTTCTTTCAGGTGAGGAGACAGACACTAAATCATAAAGATGGAAATACATAAATGAGACGGTGTGCTTGGTAGTGATAAGAGTGATGGAAACCCGGGGAGAGAGATTAATTGACTCATGTCTTTTTCCCTTGCCGGAGTGCTGGCATTGTGGATGAGGGCTGGTGCCAAGGCTGGCTCATTCACCAGCATAGCCTGCACAGCCTCTGCACATAGTAGGTGCTCAGGAAATATTGTTGGACAAATGAATGAATCTCCAGGGCCTGGGAGAACAGCGCACGGGAGATGAAGGAGTGAGTGCGCCAGGGAGAGGCCGGAGGAGGCAGCCCGCACTCCGGGACCTGAGGAGGTGCGTTTGGCTGGAGTGAGGGACCTGTGGACTCCGAGGCTGGCACGGTGTGGGCAGACCTGGAGCCACCCCAGGGAGGAAGTTTTCAGCCCAGGGGTTGGCACGTGGCGGCCGAGGTGCCTGGGAGCTTATGTAAGGCCTGTAGTTGTTTTTCTGGAACCAAGAGCAAAGCTTAAGCTTGAGAGGAAACGGTGCCTCCCTGACCAACCGGGCGAAGTGACAGGCGGTGCCAACTCCCGCCTGTTGTCCCCGGGAGCCAGGGAAATGTCCAAATGCATCAGCTCTGGGCAGCTCAGCAGACGGCTCAGCAGCCACGGGTGGCAGCCGGGTGGGCGCGAGGCATTTGGGCCTCATCTCCAACTCCCACTGCCCAGCCTGGCACTGGCAGGGTTCTGGGGTTCAGGAGAACCCCGTGGAGAAAGACTCAGGGATTGGTAGCCTCTTGGAGGCGATGGTGAGGGGCAGGCCCTGAAAAGCACTGTTCTTCCCGCCCTGGCATTGTCCAGCGGTAGTGGGGGACAAGCGAGGCACGGTCAGTCATCGCTGCGTCTGGAGGGCTGGTGCTGGGAATCTGGCCTCTAAACATGCCCCAGTGCGTGGACGTGGCATGGTGCGTCCTTCTCAGGGCCTCAGTTTCTCTGTCTGCTAAATGGGCACAATAACGCTGCCGAGGTTGTTGTGAGCCTCAGACAAGACCAGGACGTGGAAGCACCCGGAGGTGGAGTCAGGACCGGCTGTACGATTTGCAGGGCCCAGATCAAAAGTTATTAAGTTTCAGGTTGGTGACAGCAGAGCATTAAAGCAAGCGTAGGCCCTCTGAGCGTGGGGCCCTGGGCGCTGCAGGTTGGACACCCTGGAAGCTGGCCCCGCAGGAGTCCTGTCTCTGCTGTTGCCTGGTTGGGTTATCTGTTCTGTCCCTTCTCTGGGCCTCAGTTTCCCCATCTGTAAACCAGAGGTTGGTGCATGAGGTTTCTGGGTTCTCAGCTCTGTGAGGCCGTGGTGGTGGGACCCTGGGCTCAAATGCAGGGCTCAGCTCAGCTGTCCCCGGGGGAGCCTGCCCTGAGCTCCTGCAGGAGGCAACCAATCGATGTGGGCTTGCCCAGGCCCCCCGGTTTCGGGCCCCACAGCACCCCAACTTCTCCCTTTGTAACAACGTGTCATCCTGGCAATAATGTTTGCCTTTACAGTAACTTTCCCTTTTTTCTTGCGAATTTTCCTTACCTTTGATGATGCAATGAATACACAGCTCTAGTCTCATAATAAAATAAATACACAACTAATATCACAACTGCAATCTAAGTTTT